ACTCTGTGAAAAATATCTGGTCCTCCAAAGACTCTGTGGAGACACTCTGAACTTTATGTAGACTTTATGTTGCCCCAAATATTTCGACCTTGGAGACTCCCTGTTCCAGCAACTCTTTCTCGGAGACCTTTGCTCAACAGATGAAAATTGTCCTTCCCAGCATCTCGTCCTTTATACAAAAAATCGCTTTATAAACTCTCTACCTTCATTTTATCCCTAATTAAAAAGAATTATATACGAGAGCTATATTTAACAAGTCAGCAAAGGCTACAGACGTGCGGGGCCGACCATGTGATACCCTACAACACGACAATATGTTAGAACCCTCTTTACGTCCAAACCCATTTTGGAAGATTTCGCTTTTGAAATTATGTCACGGATCACTGCCCAGATATTACCCTTAGCATTTTGGCCAGGGTCATTTGCCAAATATTTACACACTCCGTCGTGTTGTTAGTTGTTGTGATCCATTTTACAACTAAATATAATCCAATGGTCATCCAAAATGCTAGACTTATTCGCTGCCCTTAACTCTCTTCTTTTTAAAATTGCATGTTTTTGGTTTATTTGAACCCCTAAATATTTTGCGATCATCTCCAAAAGCAAGAGACCCCTCTGTATCTCTTAGACTCATCCATATGATTTGCTTGTCTACGGTATTTGGCTATATTCGTCAACGAATTCAGCAAAAAGTTCGCCTTTCTGTGTATTTTGGATATTGCCTGTAAGTTATTTTCAGCGTTTCGGTAAAATGGAAATTTTGGTATTTTTTCATACAAATGTATTGGTCCATTCAACCCGCTATTATAAACTTAAACTTCATGTGAGATTTAATGTCCTTTGGTTTATATTTGTGACCTTTATAACGACTGCAAAATCAGGAACATTTTTAGTTGTTGGCCCATTTCCACCCCTAAATATATTGCGGACATCTTTGAAAACAATAGGCCTAGCCCTTCTGAGCTTAACCCTACCCATATGAACATTTTCGTAAGGGTCGGACGATAATTGCAATTTGTATATAATAGCCCCAACCTGTATTGTAAGGTAAAAAAATATAAAAAATGTATACGTCAATATTATAAGTCAAATTGAAAAAATCGCATGCGATAAAAATGTGAAAAAATATTACAAAATACTACAAACTCTATTTTAACATCATTATTGACATCTTTTTATGCGATTTTTTAGATTATATTCTTTTATGCCAAGAGGGCATTCTGAATTGACAAAATTTGTTCTTGAGATATAAACATTCTAGCTAATATCCCTTTCCTTTGTATAAACGCATTGTATATATTTCGCTATATATATCCGATATATTTACTATCAGCATCTACGTAATGGTCAGGATTGACCTGTTCGTCTATTTGTGATTTCGCCGGGATTAAAAATATTCGCGGTTTAATGGAAGATTTGACAAATATTATGGTCTATTTCACCCACTAAATATTACCCAATGACCATCAAAATTGGAAGGCTTCTGCCCAGCCCTAGCCCCATGCTAACTTCCGCTTCGATTGGTCTATAATGTTGTGCGATCATCTCCAAAAGCAAAATGCTTCTATTCTGACCCTATCCCCACCTACATTTTCAATTTCGTGAGGATCGGGACATAATTGTGACCTGTAGAGTGATTACAAATTAACATGGACAGACAGACGGACTGACATACATATCAAGATCGACTCAGCTCGGCGAGATAGGAAGATCTATATATACTTTCCTATGTGGGAAACCAATATTTCGAGGTGCTACATAATTTTTGGACTAATCAAACTTATAATACCCCCAACACATAGTGTTACAGGGTATAAAAATGAACGGACTTTATCTCCGTGTTTCCGCCTAAAAGAAATGTGAATCGATCCTTCGCGGCTTTATATCAATTTCGTTTCTTCTCATTTTTTGACAAGTAAATTCTTAATGGTAGCCGTTTCCAAAAATACCTCTTTCATTTATGTCTTCCCCTTTTTAACGCACAGGCTACGATCAGTGTTGCCAAACATGGTAAAACTCCTAAAACACCTACACAAATTAAAATTCAACGGCGCAAATCGGGGCCCCAGTGTATTGGCTAAAGAGGGTTGAAACATATGGCCTTCTTGATTGTTATGACAAGTCAATCCTCTTTTCATTTCCATTCCGATAAATGATGAATGGAATAATTTCAATCCACATTCAGACAATGTCAAAGTGTATCAACAGTGTCAAAATGTATGAATGCTATTCATAGGCCCCGGCGAGATTCGAACTCACGATCTCCTGTTTACTAGACAGGCGCTTTAACCAACTAAGCCACGGCGCCTTGACATCTAAGAACTGATGATATATAAATAAATACAACTTTAAATAATAAAACACTTATTAATTTATTCTGAATAAATAAAATCATTTGGAATAAGTAAAATATCAGTTGTACGTCTAAGTTTTACAAACAAATCGAAAAATGTCAACCCCTATGCAAATTCATTTTATTTTGCACTAACCGGATATTGTTAAAAAATGAGCATATTATGTTTATTCCCACACCACAATTACATCACAAATTGGCTTTGGTCCACAACGCGACCCCTAGTAATATTGGTCTCAGAATATTTACATCTCGAAGAGCTGAATTGTTCGTCCATGCTCTTTTGTAATCACTCTACAGATCACAATCATTGCTACATCCGCAAAATATTATGGGTAGAGGTCACAATTATATTAAATCAAAAATATTGGTAAACGCCTTTGTTTTCCAATTTAAAACCCAAATGGAATGAAATGTACAGATGATTTCTATAGGAACCACCCTCTGTTAACTCTTCAATAAAAGGCTAACATTAAACAAGTAAAAACATTTTAAAATTTATATACCCACTACCATTCGAAGAAACAGAAAAATTAAAAAAAAAAATCGTTGAAAATTGCGGGTGAGTCTTTAAAATTCCAAATATCAGGTGTTACAGTTATAACGGGGCTATAGGAAACTGCATGAGAAATCGGTGCATATTACGGACTCAAAATACCATGTTGAAGATAATTCTGTGGAAAATGTAGCTAAAATGATCAAAATACCGATTATAAGGTGGAACGTTATATGGTGGCTATACGAAGACCTGGATCTATACAAGAAATTTCCTGTAATAGAAAGTAGTAACCAATGCAAACTCAAAGCGGCAAATTTAAAATAATTCCGGTGAAAAGTGTGAATATATGGAGGCTATATGGGGGCTATACAAAAAACGGGGACCTTTGCATGTTCCAGTAGTAACCAGTACAAACTCCAAATGTCGCATTTGAAGCGATTCTGGTGAAAAAATTAACACAAATGATTAAAGTAATGCGTAAGGTATAGCTTTATGCGGATTAGGACCTTTATGGACATTTCTATGTAAGGATGTTTCCTACTGGGAACAGAAACACGAAATTTACAGCACATTTGGGTTAAAATTGTAACTAAAACAACCAAAAGACTTCAAATCTGCCGGTACAGTTATATGGGGCTATACCAAAATGTGGACCTATATGACCCATTCGCAATACCAAAAAATCTACGAATCTAAAATACCTCTGAGTACAATTGTATGCACATTCTGTTCGGAAGAGCACCGTCGGCTCTGTATGTAAACCAGTAAAGAAAGTCCTAAAGTACACCACTTTACTAATTTAGTTGAGCTCCACATAAAAATTAAAAGTTTTTATGGGAGAATTCAATCATACACCCTATGATTATAATTATAATTTAAAATTCAAAGGACTAAATATGCCGAAGCATTTGTATCTTTTAAATTCGGACTTGTATTACGAATTGGGTGCAAACTTAATTTGAAATCAGATAAAGATATATATGGGAGCTATATTCAAATCTGAACCGATCTCGATACAATTTAGCAAAGATATAAGATATGTATTCGATATATTTCCCTGAATATCGTTGTTACGGAGTGCATATTACGGCTGTGGGTTACAAATACAACAAATCGGATGAACAATATATATGGGAGCTATAGCTATATCTGAACCGATCACCAAATTTCACCAAATTTGGCATACTACCTTCTAGACTCAATTCGGTCGTATGTGCCAAATTTCATCCCATTTGGACAAATATTAGACTTTGGTGCACAATAAAAGGTAAATCGGACGAAGTTATATGTGGGAGCTATATCCAAATCTGAACCGATCTCGATAAAATTTAGCAAAGGTATTTCTGAGCTGCATTTGATATATTTGCCCAAATATTGTTGTTACAGAGTACATATTACGGCTGCTGAGGACAAAAATAACAAATCGGATGAACAATATATATGGGAGCTATAGCTATAACTGAACCGATTTCGATCAAATTTGGCATACTTATTTTCAGGCCTAATTTGGTTGTATGTGCAAAATTCCATACTATTCCGGCTGATATTACACGTTTGGTGCACAATAAAAGGCAAATCGGACGAAGATATATATGGGAGCTATATCTAAATGTTTACCGATTATCTCCAATTTCAATAGGGTTCGTCCTTGGGCCAAACAAATGTTGTTTGGAACATTTCATCTCTATTGGATAATAAATGCGACCTGTATTTTGTTCACAAGAATACATGGACAGACGGACGGACGGACAGACGGACTGACATGCATAAATCAACTCAGAAAGTGATTCTATGCAGATCATCAAAAGGAACTATGTGTCTATCTCGTTTCCTTTTGTCTGTTACAAACAAATGCACAAAGACATAATACCCTGACCACCTTGTGGTGTAGGGTATAACAGAACAAATTTCGTATTTGGTGCACAAAAAAGCAAGGAGTGGCCGTTACTTTATTTTTGTTCCCAAAAATTAAAAAGGACAATATTGGCAACATTCGGTTTCCAAGGGCTCTACATGCAAAACTCGACTCTTTATTTATGTTATCGTTTTTGAAAGTAAAACAAAATTGTCGTTTTAGATTTGTTATTTTTGGGCGATGGAATGAAAAACTCACATCAAAATGATTTCTGCGTTATTTAGACCAATCAGATATTCAGGTCGACAGTCATCGTGTGACCTATACAAGCAGACAGATGGAATTCTCGACTCTCAATGACTTTTGTGACTTTATGTTCGTTTAAAAAGTTTTCAATACTTCCATGCAAAACCCGTTCTGCATATCATTAATACTGACATTTTCATCATGATATCCAATATACGTATATACTTGTTAGTATGACAAATCATGATGAATTGAAATGAATTAGCTATATCACTCATCGATATTTGTGTTTTCTACCCTTAAAGTGTTTATTCAACGTAAGTGTATTTAGTTCGCTTTGAAACAATAGTTTGAATCCTACGTCGCATGTATGAACACCCTGTATTTTTGGGTTTGTGGCTGGGCTACGAGTATATGAAATTCTATGATTCACAATAGTTGTATAAATGTACGGTACAAAAAAATTGAATTTACTCTTTTAGGCAAATTATGTAGCACACAAGGTGCATTTGTCCAGTTAGGCTGTATTTTCAACCATTCGATCAGGTCCCAATATTAATGTTTATTGGATACCTTTGTCCTCTCTTTACCGTTTTTATAAATTTTATGCTGAAACCATCTTTACAAAAATTTTTAGTTTAACATATATTTTTAATCTTTGTGAACTAAATAAACAACAACCACAATAAAATACGATGGTCTTTCATAGACAAGTTTGGTGAAATTATCCATTTTCTCATCCATTAGGTGGCGCATGCTCATGTGAATGCCTTGATTCTGTTTCTCAATCACAGATAGAATGCAAACAATGCGATGCCTGTACCAGAGAGATAAACATAGAGAAAATATGACTTTTATTAAAAACATTTGCGATCAGAAAACTATACCTCTTATGATTAAATCCTCGCACCCGATCTCGTATATCACTGGCCAGACTTTCGGCTAATTGCAGAGAACGCCATGAATCGTACGAACGACTGAAGCGATCCCATGTCAAACGTTCTTCAATGGAGGACTCTATAAGCTTGTAAACTTGTTCCATGCTGAAATTTGTTCTAAAAAACTCCCAATCGCGTGGTGGTTTTGAATTTCCCTCTTCGCCCTCATTGTCACCGTCAACAGTTGCCATTTTCGTCAATGCCTTGCGTCGCCCCAACATAGACTCAGAGAGCAAGGCATTCATTCGATTTGTCGTTCGCACTGAAGCCGTGATTCTGAAAAAATAAAAATAATGTTTAAATTGTTGCAAAATGGTAAGGCTTAATCCCATTATTGTTGTTTTTATAAAAACAACGTTTGTTTATTAGTGGAAAACGATAGTAGCGTCTACCAGGGGGTAAGGCAGGAAATACCTAGGTTTCGGAAAGAGTCACCAATCCTCACCAGTTCCCTTGTTTTTTGTCCCAGGAGTTATTTCAAAAACAAAACTCCTATGACAAAAAACTTGTGACGAGATCGTAAGCTCAATAGAAGAGGAACCAAAGAATTACATAAAACTAAAATGCATTTGGAAAATCTTCTAAATCTTACAACCGAACTTATAAACATTTTCATCTCTCTCCACTTGTTATGCTTTAGTTTTACATGGACGAAGTAGCATAACCATACCTGCATGCCTCAATCATACAATCCCATAGAAATGCTATTCACAAATTTCATAATTCCAGATCTATTACTTTACTACAATCCCAATTTGTACATATTTTAGTACCATTTAGTACACATTTTCATAACAACCTGCATCATACAATCCAATATAAATCGTATTCTAAATTTCAGGATTCCATCCTTATCGATTCGCCTAATAACAAATTGTACTAAATTTAGTACCACATGTACAAATTTACAAAACCTACACTCCGACAGTAATTTTATTTTCAATTTTCAAATACCAGCTCTATTGGTTCACCCAAATTTAAATTGTAACAAATTTAGCACCATTTAACACTAAACTATTTATTTTCAATCCGTTCGTCCAAATTCAAATTGTACTTAATTTAGTACTACGAATTTTATGTCCAGTTGAATGCAATGAGGATTGTTTTACACAGAATATTTTATCTTTCTAATTTGATTTTCTTATGTCCTTTTCGCCCTTCATTACACAGGATGAGATGAAAAAACTGCAACCAAGTTCAGACTGCTGTCATTTCTAAGACACTCGTCCACAGCTGTTAAAATTATTCCAGTGACAGCTCATTATGTTGTTTACGAGCGTACAAAAGAATTTTGGTGAAAGTTTTCCAGAAAAAAGTTATTCGTGATGGATTTCGAGCGTGATAGTGTGATTTATTTTTATTTATATTTGGCTGAAAAATCACAAGTGGCTATCGTTAGAGCACTCAAGCATTTAAATATGAATAAATCTTTTGTGTCTCGTTGCCTTGATACTGGTAGCGTAGCTTGCAAAGAAACAAAATGATCGTGTTTACTTGCCAAAGAGGTCATCTGAAAATTTGCACCTTCGGTTGGCCACCAGAACTCAAGCGCTATCCATGGTGATGGTGTGGGCCGCCATAATAGCCGATGGTCACTCTCCCCTCGTATTAATCGACCGTGGCATCAGAATAAATGCCGAATATTATCGCGAAAATATTCTGGAGGGTGTATGAAAGCCTTGGGCATGACCTTGGCCGCAGACCTTGGACATTCCAACAGGATTCAGCACTATCGCACTCTGCACGCGCCACACAAGAATGATTACAAAATTAGGTTCCTCGCTTCGTTTCCAGCGCACAATGGCCACCAAAATCTCCGGATACCAATCCGTTGGACTATTGTGTCTGGAGTATTTTGGAAAGCTAGGTTTGCACTAAAAAATACCAAAGTGTCGATCACCTAAAGTAAGTGCTTCACCGGGAATGGGCCAAAATACCGCCGCGCAACATTCGGGCAGCGTGTGAAAGTTTCATTGGCCGTTTGAAGGACATAATTCGTGCCAAAGTTGACCAATTCGAACAAATCTAAACTTATTCTAAAAATTGATGCTATTTCAGACATTTTTTGCTTTCATTCAATAATATTTAAAACAAGTAAGCAAAGGCTACAGCCGAGCGGGGCCGACCGTTGAATACCCTACAACACTATAATAAACGATACAGTTAGTATAGGCGAAATACTCGAAAGAATTCCACAAGATATTGTGACAAATAATAAAAGAAAACCATCAGGTTTCGTTCTCTAATTTTCGAATAATAGCAACTTAAACTAATTTGCTCATTTCCAATTTATTGGTAGATGTTGCACTTAAATGGTCTTCCTAGATCTGGAACCAATATTTCCCAAAGATTAACATTTATTACTGGTTTTTGACTGAAACGCATCTACATGAGATACAGACATTTAACTATATTCTTCAACGAAATCAGCGTTAACGAAATAGTCAGAAGTGCGTCTTTCCTGTATTTGTGAATTCTTCAAAAAGTCGCTGGAATGGACATTTTCGTATTTTGTCCATAAAAGTTGGCAAACTCCTTCACACATTGAATATTTTTGGATGGCCATCCAAAACTGCTTGGCTTTTGCAATGTCCGGTAACCCCCATAATTACGACCTGCTGACAATTTTGCAGTTTTTTGGTCCATTTCAACCCCTAAATATATGGCGATCATCTCCAAAAAGAATAGGCTTTTATTCTGACTCTCATCTTATCTCCATGCAAAATTTCGTAAGGATCGGGCCATAAATGCGATCTGTATATGATATCCTGATATCCTAACTACTTAGTTTTGTTAGCTGTAGAAATATTACCAAAAGTTTAATTCAAAATGAAAATATGCCAAAAATATGACAAAATTGAAAAAATATGAGATAATTTTACAAAATCAATATTTTCATCTTTAGAGAGACATTTTTATGCGATTTTTTTAGACGTTTTATGTTTCCTGCCAAGAAGCCATTCTGAATTATTGAGAACTGTCGAAATCAGTTCAGCCGTTCTCGACATATAAGAGATTTTTCAAGCATATCTTCTTTGATAAACATATATATCGCACATATTTTGCTATATATCCGTTTTGTTGCATGTTAACATCAATGTAAAGATCAGAAGTAACCTTGTCATGGCTTTGTGATTTCGCCGGCATTTAAAATATTCGCGGTTTAATGAAAAATTTTAAATTTTTTCAACAAAAAAGATATGGTCTATTTTACCCGCTAAATATTATCCGATGACCACCCAAATAGGTAGGCTTCTTGCCAACCCTAAACTCTAGCTACATGTGAAATTCCGCGTCGATTGGTCTATAATTGCGACCTGTAGAGCAAGTGCAAAATCAGGATTTTTTTCAGTTTTTGGTCCATTTCAACCCCTAAATATTATGCGATCATCACCAAAAGAAATAGGGTTCTATTCTGACCCTAGCCCCACCTCCATTTTAAATTTCGTGAAGATCGGACCATAATTGCGACCTGTAGAGTGATTACAAATTAACATGGACAGACGGACAGACGGACGGACGGACATACATAGCTAGATCGACTCAGCTCGGCGAGATAGGAAGATCCATATATACTTTCCTATGTGGGAAATCAATATTTCGTGGTGTTACATAATTTGCATTTTTTAATACTTTTGTTGCATTTTTTAATACTTTTTTCAATACCATAACAATGATATATAACATATGAGAAAATGTTACGGGTAGGACTGCTTAATATGGATGGTACAGTAGGGTATCATAAAGTCGGCCCGCTCGGACCTTGTTTTACTATTTTTTCCTTGTTATTGTGTGATTCAACAGTTTATCAATGACTTCGCATAACTAAGTGGAGATGTTTTGTTCACGGAGAACACGCGTCAAGGCTCTGTTTTCACCCAGTGTGGTATAACATGTTAGACGGAGGGACTTTTGTCGATTAGTTACTGAAACTTTATTTCCCGTCATAGTAGAAAGAAAAATTTCTCCGGCATATTTTGTGGCTTTTCAACACATTTTTATACACAGTATGGAGGGTATATTAAGGTTGTCATTCCGTTTGTAACACCTTAAAATATTCATTGTTGAGAAGCATAAAATTCTATGGCGACTTTACAATGCTGTCTGTGAGAATCGCCCTAGCTTTCGAACAAATTGAACTAGGTTATGACATTTTACGCAAAGCCTATTTTACTGAAGCCTAGCATTTTGGATGGTCATCGGATAATATTTAGCTGGTGAAAAGGATCACAATCTGCTTTGTAAAATATCGATGTTTTTTTAGAGATCGTATGTTTTTGGAAATTGTAATGTTTTTTTTTTTTTTTTTTTTTTTTTGAAAATTATAGAAAAGGGTAGCAATTAGGTTCAACATTCTCTCATTATGTAGTAGATATGGGGATGGTTTTTGGAGGAATCTTCATTCTAGTCAAAAGGATTTCAGATCTGCAGAAATTTTACCGCAAATCGGGGTGGTGTAGGGTATCAAATGGTCGGACCGGCAGACTATAGCCTTTGCGAACTTGTTTAACTTACTTTTGGACTACTGGAGGTAGTTTGATGTGTGCTTCCTACGACAAATCCGTGTTCAATAAGGGGAAAGATGATGTTGTGTAGGTAGTTATTAATATCAAAATGTACTAATAAAACCCATAATTTGGTTTTGGGACTATTCGATATAGAACAAAAGTAGCATAACTGTGCATAATAAATTAGCTTCCTCTGTGAAATACCCCCATAAAGTATATATATTCTTGATTCCAAGATTAATTAGCCATTTCAGTCCGTTATAACGCTAGAGTCGAGTTTTTGTCTGCAGTCAGATCAAGTTCGAAGATGGGCTATTCAGGTCCACATAATAGCATAGCCCCCATATAACGGTACCCCCTAAGTAGTTATATCTTTGGCAGATCTCCCGATCTTCGGTATTTTAATGACATCAGTGTGGTTTTTCTATGGAGTGGCCTGGGATAGAATGGAATTATCCCCCTAAAAGAAAATTGTCTAAAAAGGTCCGCTTCGTAAATTATGTCAACAGTTCATCTGATATTCGATATCTGGATCATTTTAGCAACATTTTCACTGGAATTTTCTTGACTTTTAATTATGAAATTTTCAATGGCAAAAATTTTTCAACATAGTTCAAAGTTTTTTCTCTAGCCCCTTTATAACGGCACATCCCGATATTCGGTATTCTGATGATTGTAGACACATTCTTTTATTGGAAAACGGAAAAATTGGGTACCAATCTCTTGGACAACAAAATTCCATATAGGTATACCCTTTCCTATAGCCTC